AATTATGTGGTAATTTTCAGTTGGTGACATGCAAATTTTTTTTTTTTTTTTGGATTATTTACAATGTTGGATTATGTTGGGTTTGGGCTGGGGGGTGAAGGCCGGGACGGGACGGGGCTGAGGCGGAAATTATAAATTCACCCGTAAACGAGGATGGAGATGAAAATTATACCCGTTAACAGGAGTGGACTAGGGATGAACGGAGTTTTTTTAACTGGTACGGGGATATAGATTACACCCCTCGCCCCTACTTCGGTCCAGTGCCATCCCTAATGATGGTGGAAACTCACAGTCACAAAGTCTATTATCTGCTTAAATGGTACGAAAAAAAAGTAGTAAAAATAAGGGAGAATTATAATTAGATCTCTTGAAATTTGTTATTTAATTACTCACACTTCTTGACATTTGAAATATTACACATAGATCCATTGAAATTTATACACGCGTAACACTTAGATTCATACCCCCTAAAGTATATTCGATAATAAATTACATTCATACCCCCTAAAGTTTGTAGGCATATAATATTTACACCCCTTAAATTTAAAATATTATATTTAGATAAAAAAATACTTCAATAAAAGATAAAATATCAAATATTTTAAATTTAATGATCAAAATTCATATTATATTGTATCATTTATTAAAATAAAACTTAAAAATTTGTAATTAGTATAAAAATACTATCTATTAGAATAAAATTAAAAAATAAACAAAATATCTAAGTCATTCATAATAGAGCATGAATTTTGCAACAAAAATTCATGTTCTATTATGTCATTTATTAAAATAAAATCAAAAATAAAAAAAAATATATTTTTAAAAAAAATCATAATTAGTATAGAATTATATTATCAATATTCGACCGATTTTACTTTGATAGTAGGCATCCCAAATTCATTAGAAATTAAAATATAATTTAACGGATTTGAATTATCTATAAAAAATATCAATTTATACCAACTAATTGAATTCAAACAAAAAATCCAATCTTTGAATATGCCTATCATCAGCTGTTTCTCATATTCATGGCCTCAAGAAAGCTTTCATTCAAGAATCCTTCAAGCTCCATTGGCCTTGGATTTCGCAAAGTAAATATCTTCGTGTTCTCTTTGGATGCTTCATATCACCATTTTCAAAACTGTAATATCCATGTTTTTCTAAGTTCCAGCTACTGGTACTAAGTTTTTTCACTAGTCAATATCACATTTGATGAGCTCAAAATCAACTGGGTTAGACCCAATAAATCAAGAAGGCCTAAGTTAACTAAAGGGTGGCCTAGGCCTACTTTGCCAGGACGACCCAGTTCGACCTAGTTCAGAATCCAAGAAGCCCGAAGAGATAGGAGCACATGGGAGAAACTATCGGGATACGCACTAATGAAAATTCAATCCTACCTTGATTGTACTTACCAAAAGAATAGTGTCCTCTCCCTCACGTCACTGCCTCACCCACGCCTATATAATATAAGCCCTCTCCACATAGAAGACAACACCTTGAGACCTCAAGACACCCCTACATCTCACACACCTCTCTATATCTCTTTACACGCTAAGCTCTCTCTCAAAAAGCATTGTAACTTCCTCGGAGTATACTCTCCTGGTTTCTTTATTCATCAATAAAGAACTCTAGCCATCACTGCTGTTTTTCGAGAGTGGAGTAGGTCACCCAGACCGAACTACTATATATCTGTATGTGTTGCTCTTTTTTACTACTTTGCCATTGATTGCTTATTTACTGTTTATTAATTGCACCCTTTTATATACTCGACAGTTGATCTTGCACGATACCAATTTGTGCATCATCAACATTCTATGGCTTGATCTATAAAGACCTACCAACCATAATCCTGAACTTGAATTGTCATAGTCAACCTTGAAGTGAAAACACTCTCTGAAAATATAAACCAAACCTCAACCATGAAGCGTTATATTTTTGAGCTGTTTATGAATTCGATACAAGCAACCGGAAAAACCTTTGGGCCTTTTTGTATTGTGGGTTTGGGAGATTCGTGTTTAGGATTTGGGGAAAATAGTTTAAAGGATCCCCAAACCTTATATTTGGGTTAAAAATTCAATCATGGGTTCCCAAATTCGACCCGCAGCTAGTCCGAAAATTAAATCCACGATCATAGGTCTCGTCAAATCTTAGGGAGATGGGTTTGGGAAGATGGGTTAAGGGGTTAAGGATGCAAAAGACGGTTGTATCCCGCAAAAGAAAAGGGTATGAATTAGATTGATTAAGGGGTAAAATAGTCATTTAAAAGATAAATAATTGTTAATAATCGTGATATATCCGTGAGTCCTACATGTGTATGTGTTGTATACCAAACATGAGTATGAATTGAATTCAATGTTAAATTCTATCTTTGTAAAAAGAGGTTTAAATTTGAAAGGATTTGGGGAAGGTAATCTAAACTCTCCTCAAAAATCTATCCAACACAAGCCTTTTATGCGATGAATGTTTGGTCATTTGGCTACCATAAAATATAAGAATTTATTTAACGATTCGTATATGAAATTTAGAACACTTAAATTACAAGGTTTAGAACATATTTGTGTGAGTCATGATACTTAATCTCTCGATTTCTTTCTCGAAATGGTAAGATCTTCATCTTCATCTTCATCTTCTTCTTTAAAGTAATAGACGACTTTCAATGGAATAAGCCAAATTAGGTTATGAAGTAGAGAGAGTACCTAACCTGCTATTTATAATGAATCTAATGAGCTCTCTTATTATGAGCCACAATTAGATTAATGCATAAACTTAATTGGCTCAACCACATAAATTAAAAAAGATATGCATAAGCTCATTAAAATATATTACTTAACAATATTGAACTTATTTCATTGGACTATAAATTTAACTCATTTTTTACAAACCCAAAGTTCACTATCAATTAAGGAAAGTCCGATATAAAAAAATTCTAACATAAAATACACAGGGGACTATGCATGGAAAGGTAGATCAAGAAGACAAGAACAATAAAAATTCTGAGGTGCCACTTCTTCATTGAACATTTTGTATAGATGCAATAACATTATGTTACTCCAAACTCTAGGTCAACTTTTATGCTCCGTTTGGTAGGAAAGATGAAAAGTAGGAGAGATACACTTTCTATCATTTAATGATGGAAAGTAAAAATGATATATTTTCCTTCTTTTTGTGTTTGATTGGATAGATGAAAATAATAATGACCAATTTTTTTTAATTTTTTTTTGTCTAATATTAGGGGTAACAATCGAGGCGCGTCGTGTCAAATTCATGTTAAATCATAAAATTATGAGGTTTTTGTATTTCTTGTTCGCGTGTTAGGTCATTTTTAAGTTCGTGTCGAGTTATAATTAAGTTTGTGTCATAAAATTCATGTCGAGTATGAGTCGTGTCATCGTGTTGAGTCGAAAATTTTCACCCCTAGTTAAGATGAAAAAATATATTTTTTATTTTTTTTAAATATATATAAATACATATTTTGTTATTGTATTTTTATGTGAAATTAATATATACATAATATATAGACAAATAAGATATATCTCAAATAAATAATTAACTTTTCATCCACTTTCCTTCTGATTTTGGAGGAATTGATTTTGGTGAGTTGGAAGGAAAGTTAATCTATCAACTTTTTCATCCTCCCTGTTTTTCTTCCTTATCAAACATAATATTTTATTTATCTTTTCAACTTTTCATCCCTTCCATTTTTTTATCATGACAAACGGAGGATAAATGCAAAAAAAATGATTCAATTGCTTTGTGTCTGTCCTTTCATTCTTCCTTTAACTATCCATGCAACTGTTCTACATCTCTGTGCAGCAAGCTCCAATTTAACATATTAACTAAAAAATTTGATGCACCTGTTGGCAATGCTGGCCCAACCTATAGGCCCATTAAGGCCACTGAGTAGGCCCCTAAATTGAAAGAAAAATTGGGCCCTAAAATAAAATTTTAAACAATGGTATGCAATTTAAATTTTGGGGTATAATTTAAATATGCAATGCATTTTAACTATTGAATTTGTAGTAAATGCCAAATTTTAAATAAAATTTACTATTTATCCAACGTATTTGGTTCTCAAATTAAGTCAATCAATATTATTGTAAACTTTTGAGAATCTCTTTCAAAAAAATTTAGAGCCCTATCTCACCCGATATTTATATTATATGTATATCACTTTATAGTCTTATTGTTAAAAATAATTTTTTATCGTACAATAAGTATGAATAATAATTTTACATTTCTATAAGTTAAATTTGAGGTCAAATTTTAATTACTTTGTTTACAATGAACATAATGACTATAAAATAGAGTGAGTTGAAGTCACTATCTGAAATTAATTAACCATAATTGTTTTAGTAAATTTTTTTACTTAAACATAATTTCGTTTCTCTACAATATCTAGCAATGTCTTATTTGTTTTAGGACCACTCAATTTGTATAAATTCTTATTTTTATATTTATTCATTAAAAATTATTTTATTAGTTAAACTAATTTTTACTTATGTTTTTCTTTATCTTAAACAAATAGCATGTATAATTGTATTTGATCTTCGAATTTGACTTCGGTTAAGACAATTTTTATTTGTAAAATTTGAATTTAATATTTTCATTGGTATGTTATATCTCAAAAGGCATAAAAATTATTTATAAATATTAATAGGACCTCATATAATATTTTCGCCTAGGGCTCTACTTGGGCTGAGCCGCCCCAGCCTGTTGGTGCTGGGTTCTACTCCTCTCCATCCCTTGCAATAGTGTGGCAAAAAAAAATGCTCCAAATAAGAGTATCCACCTTCACAGCTTTTATCAAACCCACGGGCTGTGGTCAGGATTCAGGGTTTAAGATAGGCATGAGCTCACTCTAACCAAACAGGGTGACCTTTTTAAATAGGGAAGGCACCATAAGTGGTTTGATTTTCAACCTATTTAGTCCTAAAATTCTACAGGATTTGGCTATTCATGACAGAATTGGAAGAATCCGAAAATGAACTGAAAGGTATATCAATTAACAAAACATAGGCAACTCTATTCCCTTGCACTACTTCACCCCTCTCCAGCCTCAGCACCCACTTTACTGTAGTGGGGGTATACATAGCCCTCATCCTCCATCGCCCATTTTAGTAATCTCAATATGAAATAAATGTCTTTCCCACCATGGTGAAAGATTTGGTTTGATTTAAAACCAAACAAATGGTTTCTTATCCCAATCCAACTGCATCCAACTACTTTCTTTGTTCTTCTTTCTTTCATGGCCTTCCTGACTCGAACTAGGCTCTCCCATTTGCCCCTCATCTCGTATGCTTGAGCTAACACCAAATAAGGCAGAGATGAATCTGGTTCCAACTCCATCATCCTCTCTGCAACTCTCTCGGTGAGCTCTAACTCCCCATGAAATCCACAGGCATCAAGTATTGATCCCCAAATTAGAGCATTGGGTTCATACGAAATTGTATCTAATATACTTACCACTTCATTGAGTTTACCGGCTCGACTCATCATGTCCACAATGCAAGCATAATGTTCATCCGTAGGAATAACTCCATATTCCTTTTGCATTGATGCAAAGATTGTCATCCCTTCATCGATAAACCCACCAAAGCTGCAAGCCAATAGAACCCCAGACAGTGTTATTTCATCTGGTTGTGTACCTATGTCAAGTAGATCGTTAAAAAGCCCTAGGGATTCAATTGCTTTTCCACTGTAAGTCAACCCCATAATCATAGTGTTCCAACATATCAAGTCTTTTACAGCAATCTGAGCAAAGATATTCTTGGCAGAGTCTATTAATCCATATTTACTGTACATTTCCACAAGCGAACTGGCAACTATAGGATCCGCTTCAAAACCAAATTTGACAGCCAAAGAATGAAGTTGACTTCCAAGCTCCACCGGAAGGAAGACTGAAGCAGAGCTGAGAACACAGCTGAGCGTGAATTCAGTAGGCCTTATGTTCCCCCTCAAAGTATGAATGAAAAATTTTATTGCATTTTCCTCAAAACCATGCCTTGCATGGGTTGAAATCATGGAATTGCAAAGTGCCGAATCCCACAAATCAACTTCTTCAAATGCACGGACTGAATCCTCCCATCTGTTGCATTTGGAAAACAGGTCAATAGCGGCACTTGAGACAATGGTGTTAGAAAGAAATCCCAGCTTCATACATAAAGCAAAAATTTGCTTACCCTTTCTCAAATCTTGCAAGTTAGAGCAGACAGTAATAACTTCCGATAGTGTAAACTCATCAGGTGAATGTCCTGCAGCTTTCATCAAACAAAACTGATTTAACGCCAATTCTTCACAACCCGACTTACAACAACCCAAAATCACTGAGTTCCAAGATATAACATCCACCTCCTCCATATATAAAAACACCACGATAGCATATTCTACAAGGCCAAGCTTCCCATACATGTCTATTAATGAATTCCCAACCACCACGTTTGACAAATTCACTTCATTCCTTATCATACTAGCATGAATTTCCTTACCACAACAAGCACTCCTCACACAAGAAACCAGAATAGAGAACGTATATACACTTGGCCTTATACCAACTCTCTGCATTTCCAAGAAAATTTCCAATGCATGTTCAACAAACCCATTTGCAGCATACCCCGAAATCATGGAATTCCAACTGACAACATCTCTTTCAGGCATTTCATCAAACAAACTACGTGCCCTCTCAATATCACCAGATTTTACAAATACGCTCAAGCATATATTCCAAGAAAATATATTTCTGTTCGGTATTTCATCAAATGCTTTCAAAGCATCATTGGAAATGCCAACTTTGGCATATAGATCGATACAACGATTACCCAGAAAAGTATGGCTATTGAAACCAAGTTTTATCAACTGGCCATGTATGGATTTAGCTAAATCCAAGGATTTCAACGAGAGACAGTGGTCGATGAGATTAGAGTAAAAGGAAAGTGAGTATGTGGGCAGTCTATGAGCTATCTTCAGTAATGGGTACATACAAATCCTGTAATATATTATTGGTAATAAATCTTAACTGATTTACAAAACGAAAGAAAAAGAAAAACATAGTAAACCCGATTCGGCATCTTGTTGCTGGTAGTGATTCTTCTTCTTCAACTACCATCTCTGCAATCGACTTATAGAGCACTTTGCATTTTTTATTTGAACAATTAGGTCAAAGCCATAATGGTAACTTCCCTCCCGCGCAAGTAAATAAAGGGCAAAGATTAGCGCATGGTCAGAAGGCATTAGGAGCAAGAGAAGAATATTAATTGAATTTTTTTAGTTATGGTGTTAGTAATTTTATCTTGTTTAGTTGTTACTAAAAATAACCCATTCCCGAAGACATGATGCAATATAAATAATTTTGAGAGGGAGACAATCGAATTGATTTATTAAAATCGATCTTATTTTATATTATAAATTTGATCGAAAAAAATTTATAACCTAAACGAAAAGTATTATAGCCTTTCTTTTAACTAATTTACCAAGAATAATAATCCAACTACCCTTAACTTATTTCCTAAATTCACTCCTAATAGGATTTGTAGTAAGCCCTAATTTTGAATTAGATTCAATTTTTTTTTTTTGATCAGTAGGATCTACGACCACTTACGCTTAAAAGTGTGAGGACAGTGGAATCCATTTAAATTCACGCACACACCCAAACAATCCGATGTGGAATAGCTCCAACCCTACCCACTCAGGCCTAAGACCTCACCCAACCTATGGTCAGGCCCAACAAATCAGATTCATTTCAAATCAAATGACATTAATAGATTTTGATCAATAGTACTACTATTTGAAAAAAAAAAACAACTTACAGCTTGGGAATTTCAATAAAATAACACATAAATGCTTTGATATCTTAAAAAAATCATTGGTTTGAGTTTTCAAGTGAACGTTACCCAGAAATTTAATTTTTAACGAAGTTAAAAGTACACTTCAATTTTGTAGATATAGTACAAAAGATCGCTTGTGATACAAGAAAATATGGGATTTGATTAATATTATTACAAAATTTTTTTGGGGAGATGGCTTGAGAGGCTTAATCTTCCCAATTTCTCAATTCTTTGAACTTTATAGAATTAAATTAAAAAAGTATGCTCTCTATTAATCATATTTTAGTGTGATTAAATTTATATTTTAAATCTACATTTTAAGTTCATGTAGTATTGTTCAAACTCATTTACTTTAAGTACATTAACTAACTATTCTCTATTTAATAAAAAGTTAAAACTAAGATGCACTCATCCTTATAACTTCTTATTATTCGTTATCTAATTTTTTCAAATTGTAAGAGTGAGAGAGAAAAAAAAATGAAAAAAGATACGATAGGTAATAGATTGTGTGCATTGCATGAGTTTATTCTAGAAATACGGTGCTAGAATCTAATCTTTGACATTATATATACAAGGCCGTTATTCTCATTACAAATTTGTATTCCAACAATGTATGCACAGGTGGTTGATGTGAGTTTTGCACACAATGACATTATTCTCAAATACAATTTTAAAATGATTTGTATGAGAAGTAAATCCAACTTGACCCACGCATATTTGCATTTTTCATGTTTTTTTTTTCTTTTTCCAAGGATAAGATTTTGATTGGATGGGAAGATTAGTTGTTGGTCATGCCACAAGGGCTAGTGAACAAGAAAAATGTTTATTTTTATTTAGGGTTAATCTCATTTTACACCCTAAAAGATTGTTCAAATCTCAATTTACACTCCCAAAGATAAAAAATCTTAATTTACACCCTCAAAGATAGAAATTTGTATCAATGTGCATCCCCAAAGATAAAAAATCTTAATTTGCACCCTCAAAGATAGAAATTTGTATCAATGTGCACCTAAAATTAAATTGATAAATTATACCTAGATCCCCTCATGTTTGTCACTTAATCATTTGAACTCCTTCACATTTAGAATATTCCCCTTACATCTCATGACGTTTGTGCATGTGTAACACATAACCACTTTTTCGTTGATATCTATTAATATAATCATTAAAAAACATGATTTTATCCTAATAAAAAATTATAATTTCATATTACCATTTATTTTGTAGATTCGATATATTCTAAAGTTAAAAATCAAGCTTACCATTTGAATGTCTAATAAAATGTAGATATTTATATAAAAGGTAATATGAAAAACATTATATAAATATTTACATTTTATTAGACATTCAAATGGTAAACTAGATTTTGAACTTTAGAATATATTAAACCCATAAAATAAAGGGTAATATGAAATTATAATTTTTTATTAGGATAAAATTATATTTTTTAACGGTTATATTAATAGATATCAATGAAAATGGGTTACGTGTTATACGTGCACAAATGTCATAAGATGTAGGAGAAATATTTTAAATGTGAAGAGGTCTAAATGATTAAGTGACAAGTATGAGGAGATCTAGGTATAATTTATCAATTTAGTTTTTAGGTGCACATTGATACAAATTTCTATTTTTGAGGGTGCAAATTGAGATTTTTTATCTTTGGGGTGCACATTGATATAAATTTCTATCTTTGAATGTGCAAATTGATATTTTTGATCTTTGGGGGTGCACATTGATACAAATTTTTATCTTTGAGGGTGTAAATTGAGATTTTTGATCTTTGAGAGTGCAAATTGAGATTCGAACAATCTTTCGAGGTGCAAAATGAGATTAACCCTTTTATTTATTTATTAAGAGTAGGTTAGATCCATAGAGATGATGAACACATGGACTTACCCATTCATTTTCGTTGCAACCTTAAGGGGGAGTAATCCATAAGAATTGCACTGTCTCTGCTTGACAATATTGAATCCAGAAAGCATATGCACAATGCTCATCAAATTCACTATAGAGTATTGCTATTGTTGTGTTTTGTCTTGTAAAGAGCAATGATTCCCGATTCAGAGCATCTTATTGACTCAACCACAAATCTGTTGCACTTTCGTGTACCCATCGGATGGCAGCCCTTCCGGGTAAAATGAATTCATGATCAAACTACTGTATTTTCAACTTTTTCCACACAATAAAATCATATTCAACTTATTTTCCAACCAAAAGTTTTTTTTTATTTTTTATTATTATTATTATTGGAGATGTGTTTTGCAAGTTCACTATTTCATTGAAAAGCTTATAAGAACTACTGTAATTAAAAATTAACTTAAATACCATGACATATTGGTAATACAGTTCCATAATTATCATAGAATAGCAATTAATGTATTAGACACGATGATCGGGTACTACAGTGCTAGTTGTTGGAGCCAGAGCAGCATTACACCATCTTGATTTCACAAGAACCTGCAATCAATAATCAGAAAGGGATGAGATATGAACAATTTCTCCCTCCATTTCCTTGCTCACCCGCTTAGCAACTGCATCAACTTTGAGATTTTGAATGTCTTTGCTGAAGTCGAATCTTATATCTTTCAGATTATCTCTGCCACACCATAAATCTGCTGTAACAAAAGAACCATATCTCAAGCAAGCAGTAAGGCTTTTTGATATTAATTTCTGTCAACTTCCTCATAGCTGACTCTGTTTGAGATGTTTAATATTCGCCTCTGATTTCACAGTTGCGATTCCAACTGATTAGCTGTGGACAATGGTGAACACCATTTGTTGACACAGAGGCAAGCAAATCCAGAGAGCTGCAAGTTTGTAAGGAGATCTAAGATGCAGTAATGCTCATCGAATTGAGGGCCACCATCAAGACCTGTAGTAGACCGATTTGATTGATGTTAATTTCCTACGGCTCGCTTCATCAACATATGTGCCAACTGTAGAGAAATAAATTCAGCAACAAAGTGTTTTAGGGGAAGATTGAGAGGACTATCGGAACTCAATAGTACCCAATTTTACTCGGATCATTTTTATACTGAAGCACATGAAAAGAATATAAATGATAGTCCACAACCAAGATCTGTGTTCTTCGTAATAAGATAATACCTATTCGCATGACAAGAATTAAATACCTTAATATATGGCATGCCTGAGGACCAGAGCAAAGACTCACTTAATTTGCTCTAATCAATTATAATATCATCTGCAATGGTTGACATGCCATGGAAGAAAATATGGTTGGCAATTTAGGGAGAAAGAACCAGCTTCAAACTAGAGATCCCAATAAAATCGCGTTTATTTCCTTCCCTTAAGCATGGCTATGACCACACCTGTTGAACCACTGCACCGACTTCAGTTCCGTACCATAAAACAGTCAATATTGCTGCTGCAAAAGACCCCTAGTGAAAGCAAGCTTCAAAGCTGATCCTTTCATTCACTCTCGTGTTTTGAAGTTGTCGTTTAATTGCTGATCTGCAAAAATCTTCAACGAAAAATATACGAAGATTTCAACCCCTCCAAGGATGCATCTTTTGCAGCATTTAATCCCGTGATTGGTGGAACATATAATAGATTTCTGGGCCATGTCTGACCTTGTCTCTAGCCCCAACATTCTTGCTAGATGGCTTGCTTCACAACCCAGAAAACATTTAGGCTACTTGATCGCTGGGGAAACAAAAATAGCAATGCACACATGCATCAGTTTCTTTGAAGGATCAGTCTTACTAATACATGATGAGAAAGAGGAAGCAATGCATTTACACCATTTTCTAGCAATGTTAACCAAAGAGCCGCAGACAAGGGATGCATTTCAGCTTCAGTACATGTCACACCACAATCCAGAAGCATATTGAATTGGAAGCGCTTTTGTATATGAACCCCTCTGAGGGTTATTCCCAACTGAAAAAGATATTGAAGAGTTCATCAAAGGCCATAAAAAAGAATGGTGAATAGGAACTCAATTTTTAGGAAGAAGTTCAAGGCTAATTTTGCTCCAGAAAAGTTTGATGTCTTTGGTTGGATATTCACATCTCTCTGGCTTACAAGTCTGAATGGCCAAGTGCATGACTCATGACTGATGGATAACTGGAAGGTTGACTTTTGTCAGATTACCAAAGAGAGGAAAATCTTGAATGGGAAGGACTAAATAGGAAGCTATAATGCTAAGTGATGGAATTTGAGGAAATTTGTTGTTTTTACAATAAATTAGTAGAATTTAAGGACAAATGATCATAACTTGTGCAACTTTTGTGATTTTGTATCCCCATATAACATGTACTTCAAAAGCCATTCTAAGAAAGTATCTAATCTTTTTAATAAATGTGCAGTATCTTCAAGAGAATATGAATTAAGCAGCAGCCTGACTACCACCAGGATTCTTTTGAATTTGCTTCTCTTTAATCAACTTTCTAACAAGTGCTTTCCCAGTCTCCAGATGCAGCAAATATGTTTGATACCTCCACATATGCACCAGTCACCAGAGTTCTCAGAATCACAAGCCATAATTAGCCAACCCACTTTCCTCCCCAGAGTTCTATTTGCACGAGCTACACAAGATCTAAAAACTGATGATCACATGCTTGCAGCTGCCTCAAATGACATCTACTCCATGAGATTCAAGGCTTCCTCAAAACAACGTGCCCAGGCAAAAAGATCTACCATTCAAGATTAAATTTGATACTTAATTACTCTGGCTTACAAGACAGAGCTACCCAGCACATGACTCATAACTGATTGATAACTTGAAAGACGGCTTTCTTTAGATTAGTGCAGAGAGGATGATCCTTAAAACAATGGGAAGGATGGAATAGGAGATTATTATGTTAAATAATGTAATTTGAGGAAATTTGTTTTTGTTCAACAAATTAGCAGATTTTGCGGAGATATATTCATGTGTTGTTGATTTTTGTCATGTCTCCCCAGATAAAATGTATTTATGAAGCTCCTTTAAGAAAGAGTCTTACCTTTCAAAAAACACAGTATCTTCATGAAAATACAAATTGAGCATCAGCCCAGCTACGACCAGGATACTTTTGAATTCTTTTCTCCCTCATCATCTTTCTAATGAGTGCTGATCTTTCCCATTCTCCAGAAGTAGCAAATATGTTTGATAGCTGCACATAAGCACCTGAATTCTCAGAATCAAGCTCCATAATTTTCTCAGACACTTTCTTCCCTAGAGTTTTATTTCCATGGGCTACACAACCCCTCAAAACTGACGACCACATACTTGCATCTCCTTCAAATGGCATCTGCGCAATGAGATTCATAGCTTCTTCAAGAAAACCTGTCCGGGCAAAAAGATCTACCATGCAAGAGTAGTGCTCAATCCCAGGATCAATATGGTAGTCATGTTTCATTGCATGAAACCATTTCTGTCCCTGTTCAACCAGTCCGCAATGATCACAGGCAGACAACACCCCTGTAAAAGTAATGTCCGTAGGAACAACTCCAGCACGCCTCATTTCATTGAATATCTCTAACCCTTCAATCCCATATCCGTTTGTAGCGTAACCCATCAACAAAGAATTCCACGAGATTTCATCACATTTAATCATCCGGTCAAATATTTTCTTACCATTTTCAACAAAACCACACTTACAGTAGAAATCAATAAGGGAGCTAGAAATAACCTGATCAGATTCAAGGCCAATCATGGTAGATCTAGCAAAAACCTGCTCGCCAAGTTCAAGTGAAGAAATGCTTGCACAAGCACTAATCACACCAGCCAGGCTGAACTTGTCCATACTTAAGTCCATCTCATTCATCTTACTGAAGAGATATAGTGCTTCAACCGGGTAACCATTTTGACTTAAACCCACTATCATCGAATTCCAGGAGATCAAGCTTTTAACTGGCATAGTCTCAAAAATCTGTTTAGCATCTTCAATTCTTCCATAATTGGAATAAATAGTGATCATAGAATTGAGCAAAATTGTGTCATACACTTTGAGCTCGCTAAATAATTTGCAAGCATCAGTAGGGATTCTACACTTGGCATACATGTCAATTAGAGTGCTAGAGACAATAAGATCATCAATGACGCCAAACTTAAAAGCATGAACATGCATCTGTTTACCAATTCCAAGAACTCCTAACCGACTACATGCAGTTAAAACACTGGCAAAAGTAGAGGAGTCTTCCTTAACACCCTTTTTCCGCATCTTACAAAAGAGAACCAATGCTTCCATCTCTTCATCGTTGGCAATGTATCCTGCGATCATAGAGTTCCATACCACAACACATGAATCACTTTTAATATTGAAAATTCTTCTTGCATCACTTATTCTGCCACAACTTGAATATCCAGAAATCAATGCTGACAGAGAGAAGTCATCTGGATCTTCCATGAAATTCAGAACATGACTTGCACTATCCATATCACCACACTTCCCATACATATTAACAAGTGAACTTCCCAAAACCGAATCAAAGTCCAGTAGATCAACAACTATACGAGCATGAATTTGCCTCCCCAAATTAAGAGCCAATAAATCACTAGAAGCACCAACAACCGTTGCCATAACAAATGCATCTCTGTGCGACACTTCAACTGGATCACAATTCAAATCTTTAAACAGTTTCAAAGCCTCTTTTGGGCACCCATTTTGTGCATATCCATGAATCATAGAATTCCACGCAACCCCATTCTTTGTCGGCATCTCATTAAACAAGCCTCGTGCTATCTCTAACTCACCCCTTTTGACAAAACCCGAAATCACCATATTCCACGAAAAATCGTTCTTGTGGGGCATTGAGTAAAACAACCCCAACAATTCTTCTTTGTCTTCCACTTTCATATAGCCCTCAATCATGGCATTCCAACTAAAAGGGTTCCTTTGAGTCATCTCATCAAACAGTTTTCGTGCATCTGTCAAGTGGCCACATCTTACATACGCCTGTAGGATGCGGTTAGTGATTGTAATAGCCGAATTAAGGACACCCCTTTTGAGGAAAAGGAGGTGGAGTTGTTTGCAATGGTGGGTGTTGAATGATTGGAGTAAACGGGCACAAGAATGCAAGTCAAGGTCCATGGGGGGCTAACATTTGTTGGTTAATTGGTTTTGAGGTTTTAAATTTGGCGGTAGACAATGAAGGGTAAAACCACACTGAACCGGAAAAAATAAAGGACTTTGAACCGGCTTCATTTGAGAGCACAGCTATACATTTGGGGCGAGCGGCTCTTGCAGGATCCTCCTGTAGTTAACAACAGGCTGCCACCTCATCATTTTACATTTGCACGGCTAAGGAGTAAATATTGAATGCAATGGTGGTATCACGTCACCATTAATGACATGATATCACTTATCAATAATAAAATTTTAAATAAAAAAGATAAATCACACTTGAATTTACATAGCAAGAGGGTGGAAAGTTATTTGTAGGGCTGTTAAACGAGCCAATCTTAAACATTTTTTTAACTTCGCTTATGTATAAATAGTCAAACAATCCAGCTCGTTTATGTGTAAATAGTCGAAGGTTTAGACTTGAATTCAGCTAGATTATCACCCCTAGTTATTTGTTTACATTACAAGTTAGTCATTGATTTTTGCGGGTTCCATGTGCTTATTTATTTTAGTACTATTAGTTGGTGATATCACGTCACTTTGTCATGTAGTATCACCGTTGTAATGAATATTTTCTCCACGGCTAAGGCTGAGTAAATATTGAATGTAACGGTGATACCACGTCACCATTGATGACATGATATCACTTACCAATAATAAAACTTCAAATGAGATAGGTGAACCCCACTTAGACTTACATAGTAGGGGTGAGAAGTTATTTATTTACATGACAGGTTAGTTATTGATTTTTATGAGTTTCATGTGCTTATTTGTTTTAGTACTATTAAGTGATGATACCATGTCACTTTGTCACGTGATATCATCATTGTAATGAATATTTTCTTACTAGGGATGGCCGAAGATCTAAATGGAGGACAATCGCGTGTCTTATCGACTGATTTCTGAATACCCAAATTAGATTTTATTATGGAAAATTTTTTGATATCATATTTTTTTTTTTGCCCAATAACAAAGTGGCACATGCAATATTTTATTGCATTATTTTAGTTTATCATCTTCACGATCAACTGCAGGTCTTGACGTGACATTTTTGCTTTGGGTCATTGAGGGATAATATCACTCTGGGCACCCAATCGAGAGCAATATTTGAGCAACTTTCTAAAAGACAAATTTGGATTTTTGAAGTCTCACATGTCACATAATACGTATCCTGATTGCAATTTTGAATAAAATGAATTTGTCTAACAAAATAGAAATGCACAACACGAAACAAATATTCATTGGAAAAACTAAACAAAGAACCTTTGACATAGATGACAAGTAGGGGTGTCCATGACTCGAGTCAGGCTAGGTCCACAATTTTTTTTTTTTAAACTGTAATATAAGCTCAAATCCTTGTCCAAGTAAGTTATCGGGCAATCCGGGCCAGACTTTTGGTAGGAGTAGCCTACCCGCAGGCCTTCTGAGCGAGCCTGTTCGTGAGTTTTTTTATATACAATTTTATTTAAAAATAATAAATATTTTTGTAACTTAATATTTATATAAATTATATTTTTGAGACAAAAGTAGAGTCAAAATGGATAAAAATAAAATAGTGAATAATTTTATTTTTGATTAGGGAATGCATTACATCCATTTGAATGAATACATCTCAACTAGATTGATACCTACTCACTTATCTATCATTTGTAATTCTACCATTTGAAACTTGTATGTTCAATAAATGAAAAAAAATAATATATTATCTAAAGTATTTAAATTTTTAAAACTTCAAATTATGACATTGAGAGATTTATTTCAAATTTAATAGTCTAAAAGTATAATTTTTTTTTGAAAGAAAGGGTGGTAGGCTGGGCTTAGTGGGCGGGCTCTTGAGCTGGGTTTTAACGAATTTTTTCGGATGGGTTATTGGGCCGGGTTTCAAGCCGGATAATGAGTTTTGGGATAAACCCAAATTCTTTTTTTAAGGATATTTGACTCAGACTCGGGAGGGCCAATTTTTTGGCCAATCAAGTTTCAGACCTATTTTTTTGGGGCCAAATAACAAGACCCGTGAATAACTTGGCCATGAACATCCCCAATGAAAAGAACCTCTCAAAAGATTAGACATCGACTTTGAATTTGCAGCAACCCATCAATTTTGCATATTGTAATTGTTCTTATGTCAATGCGACTCTTTGGTGTTTGCGTGCACTTGGTTGTACTTGGGATAGCCCATAGATTCAACTTACTGATTCATCCATTTTGACAATTGAGACCTTTCAATGTCCTGAATTAAAAAAAAAAAAAATTTAAATAAATTAGCAACAACACTTAGAATTTTCAGAACTTTTTATCAAGATCAATAACAATTGGTGATAATAAATGCATACCTTGTACAAGTAAAATGTTGGAAAATGATTAAAATCTGCGTCTAAACTTTCACTGATTTGTGTGGGTTTTCTTTCAGTAGAAAATGTCATTTTAACGTAAGGTTTTGCCTATTTCTCTCTTATTTGAAAAATACTTTGCAACCATGTATTATCTCGAAGGTCATAATCAGAAAGTATGTCATTCCAAGCACATAGAATTTTGTCTTCATCCTTAATATCATTGATATATGCATGAAGATCTTTTTCAAACTCGCAGACATCTTTATATAAGCACCCCAAATGCTTTATAGCATTTTGCCTTATATACCACGTGTTCATAGCATTTTTATTGTATCTTGATCAATAAAAATAATCTTCGATTTTTTTCCAGACATAGCTTGAAAAAAAGTATTGAAAAACCATTGGGAGAAATCAACAGTTTTATCGTACAACAGTGTAACACCAAATATGACATTCTCCCTGTAATTATAAATCCAGTGAAAACTAAAAATGGCCTATATTCCTTGTTAGTTCTATAACTCGTGTCAAAACTTACAACATCACCAAAATAACTATAGTCGATAATCATCTTCGCATTTGTCCAAAATATATTGGTGATTTTCTCTTCGACATCTGATTGCACTGCATAGTAAAGAGATGGATTTCCAAGGACTGCGTTAAAAAGTACTCTAATATAGTCCCTACTTACCCATATTGCAAGTTTCTCTGTCGCTTGCTTCTAAGATAATTTTTTTGATCTTGCTGAGTGTAATAGAGATTACCTCACCCACTAGCTTGTCTACCCATAAACTCATAAGAAGATTTCAGACTGATTCCAGAATCATCAGCAAGATCAACCTCATAAGCTTCAGCTGCAGATATATGTCGTTGTGATGGCATCATGTGAATACATTCTTAATAGGAAGAGCATGATTATCTGTTGATTCAGAACTATAAACCATACATTTTTCCTTTTTTTTTTTATCAAGTTTAATGATCGTATGTGCATTACAGGCCGTTCTTATTTCCACGAGAGGGAACCAAGTTTTATAGTCTCTTTTGTCAGATGCACGAAATCCTTCTTTACAACAAACAAATTTCCTTGATATTAGCTCACCAATTTTCTTCTCTTAGTACAAATTTGTTTTCAAACACTAAGTCTCATATAAAAATCATAATTGTCGTAAAAATCAAATGCAGCATCTTCTGAATCAAACTCCAAACCTATACGCGGTGCACGATCCTCTGAGCCATTATGATTTTCTATGCTCTCATTCAGGTTTAAATCTACTACATACGTTTATGCATCCATCATTACACAATCGAATTAGCCAATAATATTTTAATTTGAAAGTTATTGTTTAATCGCATTTGAAAATCTATATAATAAAGTACCTTACAATTTAAATTTTAAAAGATAAACAAAATGACTATTGTTATTCGTGGTTGAAATTGCTTTAAATTTTACTTTAAAGTTAATCTAATGGTTAATATTAACACCCTAAATTGAATAGGAAAAATAAACCCCTAAGAGTGTGTTTGAAATGATTTTTTAAAAGTATTTCTAGAAATTATTTCTCATAAATACTTTAAAAAAATATAGTATTTAAAACCGTTCCACCGCTCCACCACCACCACCGCCCCCACCGCCACCCCCACCAACGCCACCACCACCACGATTATTGTCACCCATCATAACTATCACCGTCTTCTACCACCACCACTGCTGCCCACCATCTCTTACCCCAACTACAAATCGATGTTTAAATTCTTTTATCTTTTCAATATATTTGTGATTTGATTTTGGATATGAAAACGAATATGTTTATTTTTTATCATTTTTTATTATTCTGTGTCTTTAGGCACAAACAATAACTAGTCTGTATAATAAAATAACTTACAATTCAAATTTCAAACGATAAACAAAATGACTTTTTCTATTTGCGATTGAGATTGCTTTAAATTTTACTTTAAAGTTAATCTAACGGCTAATATTAACACCCTAAATTTAATAGGAAAAATAAACCCCTAAGCTTGTGTTTGAAGTGACTTTTTAAAAGTACTTTTATAAATTATTTATCATAAATAATTTTTTAAAAATAGTGTTTGAAATCGCTCCACCTCCACCTCCACCACCGCCATCGCCACTGCCGCCACCACCACCACTGCAACTGCCGCTGTCGTCGTTGTCGCCACAACTACCACCACTGCTGTCGTAGTCATCGTCGTTGCCGCCCCCACCACCCCCACCCCTACTCTCATCGCCACTGCCAATCCCACCACCGATGTCACCGTCACCCCCACCCCTGTCGCCATCACCACCACTGCCGCCACCCTCATCGCCACCGCCTTCATCACTGCCACCCGTCGCCACTGCCACCGTCGTTGCCGCCACCACCACCACCATCGTTGTTGTCCTCGCTGCCACAACGGTCATTGTCACCCACCACTACCATCGCCGTCTCCTACCACCACCACTGCCACCCACCATTTCTCACTCCCACTACAAACTGATACTTAAATTCCTTTATCTTTTATTTATGTTTGTGATTTGATTTTGAATATGAATACAAATATGTTTATTGTTTACTATTTTTTATTATTTCGTGCCTTCAGGCACAATCAATAACTAATTTTAAAATAAAGCACGTGCAT